GGGAACGGGTAGGGGAGGGGGGGAAAGGACCAGGTACAGGGGGGGAAGGAGGACAAAGGGAAAGGGGGAAAAGGGAAAGGGGGGAAACCATTCAGGGGGAAAGGGGGGAAAAGGGAAGGGGGGAAAAAACCAAAAAAAGGGAGGGGGGGAGGACCGGGGTAAGGGGGGAAGGGGGGAACCGGGGACAGGGGGGGAGGACCGGAACGGGGGGAAGGTAGGAAAGGGAAGGACCAGGGTAAGGGGAGGGAGGGACCGGGGTACGGGAGGGGGGAGGGCCGGGGGACAAGGGTGGGGAGGCCCGGGGGTAAAAGGGGGGAAGGGGGACCGGGGTACAGGGGGAGGGAGGACCGGGGTACGGGAAAGGTGGGGGAGGACCGGGGTAAGGGGGTGGGGGAGGACCAGGTCAGGAGGAAAAGGGGAGGCCAGGTACAGGAGGGTAGGGGACCGGGGTACAGGGGGGGAGGGAAACCGGTACAGGAGGAAAGGGAAGGGTACAAGGGTTCGGGGTGGGGGAAAGGGGAGGACCAGGTACTTTTAGGGAGGGGAGGACCGGGAAAGGGAGGAAAAGGGGGGGACCATTTTCGGGGAGGGAAAGAGGCCCGGGGTACGGGAGGGTGGGGAAAACCAGGTACAGGAGGGAAAGGGAGGACCAGTAAGGGGGGAAGGGGGACCAGGGTAAAGGAGGGGGGGGAAACCAGGTACAGAGGGTAGGGAGGACCAGGTACGGGAAGGGTAGGGGGGACCAGGTACGGGGGAAAAAAAGGGGGAAGGAGGGACCGGGAACAGGAGGGAAGGGGGGACCGGGGGTAATTAAAGGGAGGGACCTGGAACAGAGGAAGGGAGGCCCAGGTACGGGAGGAAAGGAGGCCGGGGACAGGGGGTAGGGAGAACCAGGACGAGGGAAAGGGGGGACCAGGGTACGGGGGGTGGGGGAGGCCAGGGAAAAGGAGGGAAGGGGACCAGGACAGGAGGGGGGAGGGGTGCGGGGGGAAGGGGGGGTACAGGGGGGGAGGGGGCCGGGGACAGGAAGAGGGGGGAAAACGGTCCCGGAGGAGGAGCCCAGGTACAGGAGGGGGGGAGGACCAGGTACGGGAAAATAGGGAGGCCAGGGACAGGGGAGGGAGGACCAGGGACAAGGGAAGGGGGGGACCAGGGACAAAGGGGTAGGAGACCGGGGTACAGGAGGGAGGGAGCCCCGGGGTTTACGGGGGGGGAGGCCTGTGGGGGAAGGGAACCGGGGGTACAGAGGAAGGGGAGGACCAGGGTAAAGGAGGAAGGGAAAGGGCGGGAAAAACCGGGGTACAGGGGGGAAAAGGGAGGCCCGGGACGAGTAAAGGGGGGGTAGGGAGGACCAGGGTATTTTGGGGGGAAAGGGGAGGCCGGGGTAAGGGGGGGAAGGGAGGGGGGGAAAGGGCCAGGGTACAGGAGGGGGGGAGGACCAGGGGGTGGGGGGGCGGGGTACGGGGGGGGAGGACCAGGGACAGGAGGTAGGGAGACCAGGGTACAGGGGGAAGGGGGAACCGGGGTACGGGGGGGGGAAAAAAGGGGAAGGGGGAAAACCGGGTACAAGGGTGGGAGGACCAGGACGGGGGAAGGAGGACCAGGGTACAGGAGGAAGGGAGGACCGGGGTACAGGGGGAAAGGGGGAAAAAACCGGGGAAAGGGGGGTGGGGAGGACCGGGGTACAGGAAAGGGGTAGGGAAACCGGGTACAGAGGGTAGGAGGACCAGGGACGGGGGGGGAAAAAGGAACCAGGGTACAGGGGGGTGGGGAGACCGGGGACAAAGGTAGGGGACCAGGTACAGGGGGGGGGGGCCATGGGGGGAAACCGGGTACAGGGGTAGGGAGGGGCCAGGGGAGGGGAGGACCGGGGTACGGGAGGGAGGGGGGCCAGGGAAAAGGGGAAGGGAGGCCGGGTAAGGAGGGAGGGAGGCCCCAGGACGGGAAAGGTGGGGAAAAGGACCAGGTACAGGAGGGAGGGAGGACCAGGGTACGGGGGGAGGGGGTAAGGGGAGGAACCGGTACAAAAGAGGGGGACCAGGGTACGGGGGGGGGGAAGGGGGGAACCGGGGGTACAGGGGGTGGGGAAGACCGGGGACGGGGGGAAAGGGGGCCCGGGAACGGGGGGGAAGGGAGGACAGGGACGGGAGGAGGGAGGCCCGGGGTACGGAGGGAAGGGGGACCGGGGTACGGGAGGGTGGGAGGACCGGGGTACAGGAGGGAGGGGGGACCGGGGTACAGGGGGTAGGGGGGACCAGGGTACAGGGGGAGGGGGGCCAGGTCAGAGGAAGGGGACCAGGGTACAGAGGGGGGGAGGACCAGGGTACGGGGTAGGGAGACCAGGACGGGGGGAAGGGGGGACGGGGGGGAAGGAGGGGGAAAAGGGGGGGGGGCCAGGTAAGGGGGGGGGAGGAAAGGGGGAAGGGGGGAGGGGGGCCAGGGTACGGGGGGGGTAGGGAGCCCGGGGCGGGGAAAAAGGGGGGGTACAGGGGAAGGGGGCGGGGTAAGGGGGGAAAGGAACCGGGTACAGGAATAGGGAGACCGGGGACGGGAGGGAAGGGAGGGGGACGGAGGGAAAGGGGGAAAGGGGATGGAGGACCGGGTAAGGAAGTAGGGATGGAACAGGGGGGGGGGTACAAGAAGGTGGGGAGGACCATGGGGAAAAAGGGGAAAGGGGGGGGGGACCAGGGTACAGGGAGGGGGAGGGGGGAAGGGGGGGGAAGGGGTACGAGGGTAGGAGGACCGGGGTACGGGAAAGGGTAGGGGCCCCAGGGTCAGGAGGGTGGGAGACCGGGGTACAGGAAGGTAGGGAAACCAGTACGGGGGGTAGGGAGGCCCGGGGCAGGGAAAACCGGGGAAAGGGGTAGGGGGGGCCCAGGTAAGGAAAGGTATAAGGGACAGGGTAAAAGGGGGTAAGGGGAGGGATGCCCAGGTACGGGAATAGGGAGACCAGGGTACAGGAAGGTGGGGAGGACCGGGGGTACGGGAGGTAGGGAGGCCAGGGTACAGGAAGTAGGGGGGACCGGGAAACGGAATTTTGGGAGGCCCAAGGTACAGGAAAGGGTGGGAGGACCAGGTACAGGTAGGGGGGAGGACCGGGGGACAGGAGGGAAGGGGGGCCCGGGGACAGAGGTAGAGGACCGGGTACAGGAAGGAGAAGGCCAGGTAAAAAAAAGGTGGGGAGGGACCAGGGACGGAGGGTCGGGGGCCCGGGGTACAGGGAAGGGTGGGGGATGAGAGGTTACGGAAGGGTGGGAGGCCCGGGGGTACAGGGGGGGTGGGGAGGACCGGGGTACGGAAGGGGGGGGAGGGACCATGTACAGGAAGGAGGGATGACCAGGTACGGGGAAGGTGGAGACCAGGGTACGGAAGGTAGGGAGGCCCAGGTACAGGAGGGTAGGGGGACCAGGGTACAGGAAGGAGGGAGGCCCGGGGTCGGGAAGGGTAAGGAGGACCGGGTACGGGAAGGGTAGGGGGACCGGGGTACGGAATAGGGGAGGACCGGGTACGGGGAAGGTGGGGAGGACCGGGTACAAAAGGGTGGGGAGGCCCGGGGTACAAAGGGTAGGGGGACCGGGGTACGGGAATTGGGGAGGACCAGGGTACGGGAAAGGGTAGGGAGGCCCGGGGAAAGGGAAGTAGGGAGGCCCAGGTTACAGGAGGGAAGGGGGGCCCGGGGGTCAGGAGGGTGGGGAGGACCAGGGTACGGAAGTGGGAAGGGACCGGGGTACAAAGGGGGGGGCACCAGGTCAGGGGGCGGGAGGACCAGGGTACAGAAGTGGGGAGACCGGGTACAGGAAGGAGGGAGGCCCAGGGTACAGGGGTGGGGAGGACCAGGGTACAGAAGGGTAGGGAGGACCAGTGTACAGGAAGGTAGGGATGACCAGGGTACAGGAAGGAAGGGGGGACCGGGTAAGGAGGGTGGGGAGGCCCGGGGTACGGGAAAGGGTAGGAGGACCGGGGTACGGGGGAAGGGTAAGGAGGACCGGGTACAGGAAGGTAGGGGGACCGGGGTACGGGAGGTAGGGGGGGACCGGGGGTAAAGAAGGTAGGGGGACCGGGGTAAGGAAGGTAGGGGGCCCAGGGTACGGGAAGGGTAGGGAGGACGAGGGTACAGTACAGGAGGGAAGGGGAGAAATGCTGTAGTGGTTTCCGGGGGGTAAAGGTTTTTTTCGGGGGGGGGGAGGGGAACTTGAAAAATGATATAGGAAGCTTTTGTTTACGGAGGGTGGAGAAGGGGTTAATTTGTGACAGTTTGTAGCTAACAAGAAAAAGAGTGTGTGTGTATTGCTTTATCTGGGTATCTGAATTAATCTCCCTTCTGGTCCATGTATGCGTATACATGAGACTAGGAGTAAAAATATTTCGTTAAAATGAATATCCCCTTTGAGCGGGGAAGAGCCAGGGAACGAGTAAAGAAGGAAAAAAGCAAGAAAATTTTATTAACTGTGAAACAGAAAGGAGATAGCCTGGAATATTGTACATGGTAAACTGGCTCTGTCCTCTCCGTTCATTTCGGGGACACTCCAGTGTTTTCACATAGCCCCCACCCCTCCTCCCCCCCGGAACTAAACCCCACCATCCCACACCGACTTTTTCCCCCCCCTCAACACATCCTGTCTCTCTTTCCAGATACACCGGGGCCAGGAACGGGGTCTCGACTCCCCTCGAATACAAGCTCATGATAAAACACCTGGGTTCTTTTCCACAACATCGGAGTCACTGTCACCCCAGAAGACACACAAACAGAGATCTCGTTTTTTCCTCTAAGAATACTGTCGGGTTTGTCAGCACCCCATGAACGTCAATAAGCAACTTGACTGGGTTGATGTGCGTTTCACAATGAAGCCCATAACAAGATTACCTGCTTTTGAATATACCAGCAACACTGTTTTGACCTCCAGTACACCCTGGTCATCCTTGTAACCTTCAACACGCACACTACCGTCACTTACCGTCACCCCCCCACCATGACCAGACACGACCCTCCTGCAGGAATCATGGACTACAACAGTGTTCACGACCACAAGAACCAGTCACATACAGACCCTTCACAGAGTAAGCATTATCTACCATTTATTAAATTTATATATATATATATATATATATATATATATATATATATATATATATATATATATAATGAGAAATGTTTGTAGTGTATACTAGGCAAGTCATATGGAAGAATTCCTATTGTGTTATCGGACAGATGTAAATTAGTATTACAGAGAAGTAATGTGGCTTATGGAAGGAGAGAGGAAAAAGTGGAACAATATTTGAGCTAAAATATATATACAAAAAATATCTCTAAAAATAAATACGTATAAACTATTTATATAACGTTTGGCTTGTGTTGCAGGATTGTTCAAGTTGGATCAGACTTGAACAATCCTGCTGCTTCTAGTATGTATCAATTTCTCGGTATTTCCATAGCATCTATTATTTCAGTTAGGCTATGCTTGTTGTACTGATGGACTGGGGAAAGACATAGGCTAAGGAAGATACGGAACCGATGTGACTAGTATTGCAAATATATGGAATACGTGGTAGGTCGTTGAAAACTATGAGCCATTTATAAGAGTAGAACGAGGCTCAGGTCAGGGCGGGTAGGAGAGAAGGGAAAGAAAAATTTGTTGAGGAGAGGTGCAGCCTAATAAGGTAACTGATATAAATTGGGAGTTGACATCTCAGTTGCTCTTCGCTGATGACAGTTTTTTTAAATAAATAACAAAAAGGCACAATACCGTGACTGGAACAATACACAAATAACCCGCACATAAAAGAGAGAAGCTTACGACGACGTGTGACTTTGTCAATGGTCCAAGTCGGACCGAAACGTCGTCGTAAGCTTCTCTCTTTTATGTGCGGGTTATTTGTGTATGGACAGTTTTTTACAAGCTTTAGATAAGAAATTGTAAAAAAAATGATGAAAGAATTTGGAAATTGGTGAACAGAAAGTTGAAAATGAATACAGAAAAAACCATGGTGATGAGAACAGGAAGACGTATGGAGAATAAAAGATCGGAAATCAAAATATATTTTAATATAAGTGGATGTGTGTCCAGATGGTTCTATGAAAACTGAACTGAATCAGAGAGAGATACGAAAAATAAAATAGCAGGAGTGACAAGGATTCTATTTAAAAAAAAAAAAACTTTTTTCGATAGATGGGAAAGTAGAATATTATTAACAGTTTTTATGGTTGTTAGATTTGGGGATTCAATGTTACGTAAAGGTGCACAAGAAAATATATATAAATTAGACCGTGAGGTGGTGTGAAATATAATTCAGGGAGTTGAAAGGGATTGTTGAGATTGTTTGTTTAGAAAAGATAAAGCAAGGTAGGGTTGATTAAGAGGGTAGGTAAATCTGGAGTGGAGGGTAGATGTGCGAAAATGGCTGGAAGGTGTGACGGTTTTTAAGTTGTAAAGGTTTGAGTATCCAGCAGTACATGTGAACGTTTTAAATAGGAGTGAGTGGTTCTTGAGATTTGATGTGCTGTTGGAGTGTTAGCAGGTGGCAAATACAGGAGAGACTAAATGATGTGTGTGCAGGTTGTGGGGTGCGAGACAGCAATGAGAAGACCCCCATACTACACACTGGGGATAAAACCCCCTGTCGTATGGTAGCAACGGTGATGTGAACCACTACGACTATCACACCCTGCCCTACCACACTGCCTCTACCACAATTACCACAACCACCACAGCTACCAGATTCTGGATCCTCACCGTCTTTTCTGTCCTGTCTTGGGTGCAGGTGAGACACTTCTTTCACATTTTATATACAGTATAATCAAATTAATTAGCGAAATAGTATATGTATTCTCCGTTTCCTTGGATCAAATCTCATTGCCTTTCATTCTCCTGGCAATGTATGCCCCCTACGGGTTTAGCATTTAGGAGTATTGTAGACTGTGAGAGATGTAGCTGAAGGCTACGAGAAAATGTTGGTTAATAATGATAAAGATTGCTATAGCAAGGTCACACCATTGTTGTCGATGTTATTGTGGTTGATGTTGTGGTTGTTGATGATAATGATGTTATGGTTCTTGATGTCGTGGTTGTTGATGTTGTTGATGTTAATGTTGCTGATGATGATGTTGTTGTGTTTGTTGTTGTTGATGTCATATTTTTGCCACACTTTCTGTTACTTGTATTAATACTGCCACTCGTATCTCATTTATTATGAAACTACCACTACTACCACCACTACTACTACTATCACCACCACCACAACAATCACCAAGACCACCACCACAACAGCTACCAATACCATTACAGTCACTACCACCACTACAATCACCATCACCCCAACAGTCACTAAGACCACCACATTAACAATTGCCAGCACCACCACCACAATAATCACCACCACCACCACTAACAGTCTCACTACCTGCAGGGGGTACAGTGGAACACATGGGGCCCCATCAGTGAGAGTATGGGGGCGGCGTTCCCTGGATGGGGGTCATCAACAGTGGCCATGATGGCCAACTGGGGAACCATAATGTTTGTGGTGTTCGTGTTTCCCATGTGCTGGGCCACTCAACGCTATGGCCTGCGCAAGGTGGTGTTAGCTAGCACTGCGCTCATCTTCCTTGGAACAGCCATACGCTGTGTCACTACAGCCGGTCCAGTCTTCACTATGTAAGTTTTTGTTTTTTTCCGCCTATTACTGGTTTATTTTCGTTTTTTTTTCTGTTTTCGTTTCCCGTTTTCCATTTTGTGATTTCTCTGTTTAACTTGTTAATTGCCTTCAGCCGCTTTTCCCTGTAACCTCTTGTCTTGCCGTTTTTCCTTTTAGCCTGTTGTCTTGCCGTTTTTTCTTGTAGCCTGTTGTCTTGGCGCTTTTTCCCTCCTAACCCGTTGTCTTGCCGTCTTTTTCCTGTAGCCCGTTATCTTGCCGTTTTCCCTGTAGCCTGCTGTCTTGCTGTTTTTCCCTGTAGCCCGTTATTTTGCCTTTTCCCTGTATATTTCTATAGCCTGCTGTCCTGTCGTCTTTTCCTTGTACATTACTGTATTGCCGTTTTTCCCCAATGGAAATAAATCACTCTGATTTTTTTGGGTTATCCCAGGTTCTCTACACATATGCTGCTGTGTATGAAAATCTATGTAAATGCATCAGTGTATACTTGAATAAACTAACTAGTCTTGCCGTTTTCCCCTGTAACCTGTCGTCTTACCATGTTTTCCCTGTAACCTGTCGTCTTGCCGTTTTTCCCTGTAACCTGTCGTCTTGCCATGTTTTCCCTGTAGCTTGTCATCTTCTCGCTTTCTTTTTGACAATGTCACCTTCCTGTTTCCTCCCTGTGAACCAACTATTGGTCATCGCCTCTTCTTGTTCCCTGAGAAGAACATAGCTAAAGGAAGGTGAGTAGCCTGGGTCAGTGGCCTCAAGACTGTAAGGTAAGACGCTTATCTCTGGGCTCTGGGGATGATAGCAGCGGCGACTTACGTGTTGTGACGGATGTACAGTGACGCCAGTGAGGTGGGTCAGTAAGTGGTTTATTAGGCGTCAGGAGACACTCTCCTATCTGAGAGTCAAATGACATTACAGAAGACAGAAACGGAAAGAGAGGCTATCTTTACAGGAAAAGATGTTTTTATTGTCTAGACTCGCAGGGGTCTCCAAACTGCGGCCCACCACAAGATTTTATGCGGCCCACAGCAGCTTGAAATACTTATAAACAGTAAAACTAATTAAACCCTTATTTTCAGTCACTTAAAGTTAAGGATTTTGTTGCTTGTAACAATTTATATGTCAAAATTTGTTGAAATTATAGTTGTAATCTTTTCATTTTCCAGATATACCTTTCAGTTATGGAAAGAAAAGAAGAGCGAAGAGTGCCGCCAGTTTCGTGAAGACTGGGGCGTAAAGTAGTTGTTTGTAGCAGCAGGTGATAAAACCTGGTGTGTCGTATACCACGAAACTTGCAGTTTTAAAAGAGTATAACATAAACCAAGATATGGAAATAAATGGTATAAAATACCGACACAATGGCAATATAAACACAAATGCAGTATAATGTGATCCTTTATTGACTACGTTTCGCCCACACAGTGGGCTTTTTCAAGTCACAAACAGAACTACCTGGGGTGGAAGGAACGCGAGTATTTATAGTCCGGCTGAGGTCAGGTGAAGAATGCTGCATCTGATGATGTACCGAGTTGGGTTGTAGAGTCTAAAACTTGGGTAGCTTGGAAAGGAGACTGGACAAGTTTGTGAGCAGACCTTCTACAGTGTTCTTATGTGGGATAGCGATGAAGAAGTTTCTTGGCAAGTGGTTCAGCTATGTTATAGAAGCCACTATTCTGGTTGAAGTTGTCGGATATAGAAATAAGTGATGATTCCAGGATTCTTCGGTATTGGGTGTTGTCTTCTGTGGCGATAAGTCTTGAGTTCCTGTAGTTTATCAAGTGGTTGTGTGAATTACGGTGTTGTACGCAGGCATTCCTTGTGTCGTCAGACCTGCTTGCGTATTGGTGTTCTGAAATACGTGTTTGGAGGTCCCTTGATGTTTCGCCCACGTATAACTTGTTGCAGTCATTACAAGAGATTATGTATACCCCTGCAAGGATGGAGGCTTGTCCTGCCTACTACTGGTGATGTCCTGATGGTCGTGGTTGTGGAGGTAGATACTTGGAATGATGTTTTGGCAAAGATGTTGGAAAATGTTTGGCAATGGAGTTGGTGGGAAGGGACTATGTATCTCTTCTCGGCAGTGTCTTCTCTGGGTGTGTTAAAAGATGTTTAGTGCTCGCCGTCTGCAGTCTCTGATGAAGTGACGAGGATAGTGGAGTTTGGAAAATACCTGTTCAATTATAGTGCATTCTTCCTCAAGGAACTCTTTGCTGCAGATTCTGAGTGCACGCAGGAAGAAGCCTATAATTACCCACGTTTGGTTTTGGTGTCGTGGTGAGATTTAGAAGTGGAGAAGATCGTTTTGGTTGGTGGGTTTTCGATAGACTTTAAAACGAAGTTCGTGTCAGCTTTGCAGAGTAGAACATCAAGGAAAGGAAGAGTGTTGTCGACCTCTTCTTCAAGTGTGAACTGGATTGAAGGCTCGACCTGGTTGAGCTTGTCTTGGAGAGCTTGAACGTTGAAGCGTTTAGGAGTTATGAGGAGAATGTCGTCAACATAACGGAGCCAGGACAGACGAAGGAATAATGGTGGAGAAACGTTCGGCTTCTAAAAGTTTCCCTGTATAGGTTCGCTAGGACTGCACTGAGTGGCGAACCCAAAGGGGAGTCCAAAAGTCTGCTGAAAGAGGTTTATTTTCAAAAGAGAAACACGTAAAGCCAACACATATTTCAACCAGTCGATGAAGTCGCTGGCTGGAATGGGAAGATCAAGTGAATCGTCAATTTCTTGCGCAAGAGATCGATGGCTTGTTTAGTAGGGACTTTAGTGAATAGGGAAGTCACGTCAAGGCTGGAAAGTTTCTTGTTCCTGATGTTGATGTTGCGAATGCGATTGAGAAGAAACACCTGAGTGTTTGAGATGTGCTGGACTGATAGTGCCCCAAAAGTTTCGAGAGGTGTTTGGGGAGAATTCCTGAGAGCTTTTGGGAGCACTGCCTATTCCCGAGGATATGGCCTCAGTGGGATACCAGGTTGTGAGTCTTTGGCAGGCCGTACATTCTGGCAGGTCTGGGGTTTTCTGGGCATGGTGTGCAGAAGTTTCTTCCCTTGTTCTGAGCTCCTCAGAATGCGGCGAGTCCTTTGAAGAAAAGTTTTAGTAAGGTTGTCCACTTGGTGGACAAACCTCTCACAACTAACCAAGTGGACAACCTTACTAAAACTTTTCTTCAAAGGACTCGCCGCATTCTGAGGAGCTCAGAACAAGGGAAGAAACTTCTGCACACCATCCCCAGAACCCAGCCCTGCCAGAATGTACGGCCTCCCAAAAAGACTCAAAAGCCTGGTACCCCAAATGGGGCCCATATCCTCGGGAATAGGCAGTGCTCCCCACAAGCCTTCAGGAATTCTCGCCAAACACCTCTCGAAACTCTTGGGCACTATCAGTCCAGCACATCTCAAACACTCAGGTGATCTTCTCAATCGCATTCGCAACTTCAACATCAGGAACAAGAAACTTTCCAGCCTTGACGTGACTTCCTATTCACTAAAGTACCTACTAAACAAGCCATCGATCTCTTGCGCAAGAAAATTGACGATTCACTTGATCTCCCATTCCAGCCAGCGACTTCATCGACCTGGTTGAATATGTGTTGGCTTTACGTGTTCTCTTTTGAAAATCACCTCTTTTAGCAGGGCTTTTGGACTACCCCTGGGGTTTGCCACTCAGTGCAGTTCCCAGCGAACCTATACATGGAACATCTAGAAACCGAACGTTTCTCCACCATATTCCTTCGTCTGTCACCTGGGTCCGTTATGTTTACGACATTCTCCCATAACTCCTAAACGCTTCAACGTTAAAGCTCTCCAAGACAAGCTCAACCAGGTCGACCTTCAATCCGGGTTCAACTTGAAGAAGGGGGTCGACAACACTCTTCCTTTCCTTGATGTTCACTTGCCAAAGCGGGACCACAAACTTGTTTTAAAGTCTATCAAAACCCCCACCAACCAAAACGATCTTCTCCACTTCACTCTCACCACGACCCCAAAAACCAAACGTGGTGTAATTATGGTTTTTCCTGCGTGCATCAGAATTGCAGCAAAAAGTTCCTTGAGGAAAAATTGCACTATAATTAAAACAGGTTTTTTCCCAAAAACCCCCATTTATCCTCGTCACTTAATAAGGGGGACGGGCAGACGGCAGCACTAAACATTTTTCAACAAACCCAGAGAAGGCCCTGCCGAGAAAAAGAAAACCTATTCCTTCCCACCAAACTCCATTCCCAAAACTGTTTCCAAATTTTTTCCCAAAACATCTTTCCAAGTTTTCTACCCCCACAACCACGCCCATAAAGGGAAACTTTCCACCAGTGGGTGGGGCGGACAAGCCCCATCCTCTGAAGGGGTATACATAATCCCTTGTAAGGACGCAAAAAGTTATACGTGGGCAAAACTTTAAAGGGACCCAAAAACAGTTATTTCAAAACCCCAAATTACCAAGCAGGTCTGAGGGACAAAAGGAATGCCTGCGTCCAACACCGTAATTAAAACCAAAACCCACTTGATAAAACTACAGGAACTAAAAATTTTCGCCACAGAAGAAAACACCCAATCCCCGAAGAACCCGGGGAATCACACTTATTTTCTTTATCGAAAAACTTCCCAAACCAGAATAGTGGCTTTAAAACATAGCAAAAAAACCCCCTTGCAAAAAACTTCTTCATCGCTTTCCCAAAAAGAACACTTTTAGAAGGTTGCTAAAAAAAATTGTCATTTCCTTTCCAAATCCCAAAGTTTTAGACTCTAAAAACCCCAAACTCGGAAATTTCATCAGATCCCAGCATTCTTCCCTGACCTCAGCGGACTATAAATTTATTTCGCTTTCCCTTCCCCCCGGGTTTTAGTTCTTTTTGGGGAAATTTAAAAAAAAAGCCCACTGTGTGGGCGAAACGAAAGTCAAAAAAGGATACATTATACTGCTTTGTGTTTATTTTCCCAAATAAACCAAGATTTTTCCCCATTTCCGGGGAAACAGCTTTGGGAAAAAAAAAATCAAATCAAAAAGGTTATTTTTCCCAAAAAGGTTTTAAACCACAAAAAGGGGCCCTGATAATGAAGCTTGATCCAGAGCCAGTTAAAAAGTAGTTATGCGTTAGCCGTAAGAGGAAACCCCCTTTTATGATAGAAAATTGATTTAAAGAGTCATGATGGGAAGAGGGGAGGTTATCCCCGGAAAAAAAGAAAATCTCTTAAAAAACCCTCAGTCTTCTACGAACGCTGTTGATTGTAGAAGGGGAAGGTAGGGGAAGCAATTTTTCCCCCCAAATTACAAACAGAGCCCTTTAAATTTTTACATTTTAAATCTTCTCACGTTTGAGGGAATGATGTGACGCATAACAACTCTTGCTATTGATCCGTGCGTTGATCATGATTTTAAAAGTCACAAAAGGAATTTAGATAAATTGTAAAAGTTTTGCACGGCACCAGAAAAGATATGTCCAAAGACGTGCAAAAAAAATTTTTTTGAGAAAAAAATATAATATTTTCCCCTTTGTATATTTTACGCAAAATTCTTGGTGTATTATATATATTATATATTTTTATTTATATATAAAATTATATATATATATATATATATATATATATTTATTTATAATATTTATATATATATATTATATATTTTAACCCCTATTTTAGGGATTACAGTTTTTGTTGGTGGTGAACGGTTGGGTGGGGTTTGGTTCCCGGGGGGTTTTTAAAAGTCTATCTACTACATTGGGGTCATTAAGGGTTTGCAGGAAACTTCCCACCAGACGGGGAATTTTTCCCTTTTCCCTGAAACAGGGTTTAAAGCTTTCAGCATTTTATTTTAGAGAAAATTATTTTACCCCACGGTGTATATTCCCCCAAGGTGTATATCCTCCCGGTGTTTTAAAACCTCACGGGTATTTCCCCCAGGGTTGTAAAACCCCCAAACGGGGGTTTTCCCTCCGGTGTATATCCCCCACGGTGTAAAATCCCTCACTGTGTAATCCCCCCACGGTGTTTACCTCCGGTGTATTTTCCCTACGGTTTTATATTCCTCACGGGGTATATACCTCATTTGGTATAAAAATTCACGGTTTTATATACTTCACGGTGTTTTTAATCACGGTGTATTTTACCTCACGGTGTATTCCCTACGGTGTATATACCCCCACGGTGTTTTTACCCCACGGGGTTTAAAACCCCCGGTGTATATACCTCCCGGTGAAATTTTCCCCCACGGTGTATTTACCTCACGGGTTTTATACC